TTTTGTAACAGATCTAGTTGAATGACCACTTCCAGAATTTGATTTGGGCAACAATGCACAGAGAGTTCCATAATAACCTTTGAAGATCTGCAAATATAAATTAATACCACTATACAAAACATAATTCTGAAAACTCAAGGCATCAGACAATGAAAGAACTGTACAGTGATGAGTCCAACCAGGAAGTTTTTTATAAATTTTGTAGGCCCTGTTGTAGAGCCTAACTATGGGTTCCAAGATTTCATTTGTTGTAAGAGACCAAACAGGTCTCTTACAACAACATCTTACAGGTATGCCATGGTTGAGAGTATAATGGCATGAAGATAGATATTTGAAACAGAAGATGTCAGATTAGATCAAATTTTTGAATAAACGTATGATTTCTGTTTCAACATTGTGGTTAAGACTTGTACATGATCACAAGTCAAATAAGTAAAAAAAATCTCTTTCATGTGTTTAATTCTAAAAACTAATATCTTAATCTTTGTAAATGTTTGATTTATTGGAAGATTCTTCCACAGTTTTTTATTCAGGCATGTTCATCTCAAGCTAAGCTAACAGCTCCACCTGTTCAGTGATCAGCTCTTCCTGTCTGAACCGTTCAGTGTCTCCAGTAACCAGTCAGATCCTTGCCTCGAGAACCGCGTCATCTGGCTCAACTCACCCAAATGAGCCGGTTCTTTCTGCTGCTGCAACTCTTTAAAGAACCGACTCAAAGATCTGCTTGTAAGGAAACATGTTGCAACCATTACTGTTACTAAAAACAAAACTAAAATTTCTGGTTTTGACTCTGTCTGCTGCTGTGCTCTCATCAACCAAACACTACAGTGATTATTTCTTCCTGTCTGCCATCCTTGTACTCACTCTCTTCTTTGTGCAGGTGTCACAGCGTGACCAGCGGCTCCACTCAGATAAAACACAGTCCACTGGTTGAACCATCAGCTGGTTTCCCACAGAGCGAGCTTCACGGACGCTGGGCTCGCTGCTCGCTGCTGTTTGAGCAGCTCCACTGTGACGTGAAGGCAAAGAACAAATCAAACAGCACCATCAGGAAAACAAACCTCTTCAGGGGATAGTTTCAGCCGTTTCAAATGTGTCTCAATGGAAAAGTTCTGAACAGTTAACATCTTACCTGCTGTAGATAGCTCTTTGTACATTTAGCTCAAGTGACGCCAAAACAATTCCATTTTTAAGGTTATAAAGTGATACATGCAGCAACATTTTATACATCTTTACACTGTCAGCACTTTTGTGTTATGAAATATGAGGATTTTTATGTAGGAAGTGGTGATACAGCTAGCTGCTGCTGCCTCCATTTACACTTGTTAATCATAGATTTCCATGTAAAGAGCTGTGCAATGTAGAATTAACAGCATTGTGAAGGTTTATAAATGAGCACAAACAATATTTTAAAATGACAGCATTTTACTTTGAGATGTGTTCTGACTAGCTGTTTGTCAGGCTGGCCTGGAAAAGATATTTTTCAAGATGAGATTACTTTAAATGACATTTACAACGGAGCAGTCAATGTGTTTTCTGCAGAACCCAAAGGAATTCGTATAGTTAAGATGTGAAACCAGAAAGTTTTATTTTGAAAATCTGTCAGCTTCAAGTGTTGACCCATGGTTTGTAAGGGTGCAACGATACAGGAAATTCACGGTTCGGTTCGATACTTTAGTCTCACGGTTCGATATTTTTTTATACAAAAAAGAGAAATTTCCACGTCCCTTTTAACTTGTAATTTATTTATATTAATTATGAACATTTGTTTAACCTCAAAAGTACAGTTTTTGAATTAAATGTTGCTGAAACAGCAAGTTTCTCAGTGGATCTGCGGTCAAAAATGCAGCCTAGGTGGAGTAGTTGAACACAGATCCACTGATCCTTCAACACAGAGCATCTTCAGAAGACAAGCTGATAAAATAAATTTAAAAAATCTATATTGTTCGATACAAGTGTGTATTGAACCTAAAGCATTGTTCGATACGGTTCGACATGAGTACATGTATTGTTGCACCCCTAATGGTTTGGTGTCAGCAGGTGTGGAGTTTAAACCCAAGCAGCAGTAAAGCAGAACAATAAGATGTCGTACCTGAGGAGCACCAGGCTCAGAGCCAGACTGAGCCGGCAGCTGGGAGAAAGGACTCCTCTGGCCTGTCTCATCACAGAAAACATCGTGTTGTGAGGGAGCGCGAGCGAGCAGACGTCTCAGTTCAGCTGCATGTGTAAACACACACTGATCAATACTGGCCTGCTGTTGGTCTCAGAGGGTCCTGCTCTGGGGTCACCGCAGCGTTAACGCAGACGTCAGGCTGGACGTGATCTGTTCAAGCTCTGTAAACTTCAGTTTGTTTTATCAAGCCAAATAATCTGAAAAGATCATTTGTTTCTGATAATACGGCAGCCAGAGATGCACTGAATTCAATTCTTGTTCCGAACTCTGAATTTGTGTAACTTCAACCTTTAAACTTTGTTTTGGGTTTTTACAGAATGGCACAATCCATTCATTTATTTACTCAAAGAAAGGTTGAGCCATCCTGCTAAAATAAACAGAACTACATCTTCCTGCATCAGTAACATGTTTTATTGGGAACTGGTAGGTATTCAGGTATTCAGTCTAAATATCTTCAATAACTTGAATAAAATAACTTTTATTTTGAAGAAACAAGGCTCTCATTTTTCTACATTCCAGAACTAATGCAAAGTAAAAGTGGACAACCGAACATGTGATGTTTTATACCCTGTTTTTTTCTACTTTTGTCCTGTTTTGTGACATTTACCTTCAGAGATTTTGGAGAAGTTAATTTCTTTCTGCACTGATGCATTAACTTTTACAGCATCTTTTTTTAAGCAGTTGTTTCTCTAAGCATGTGTTGGTGGAGGACAGCCCCTGCTGGCTTTTTAAAAGAGTGGCAATCCAAAAGTATTAACAGCCTTCCTCCATTATTCCTCTGATTATGTCACAATTTGTATTTTACTTTCTATTTAGAGACAAGAGACAAACGAGACCAGAGAGCATAACATGTCTGTTTTTGGTTTGCAGGAGTAAACCTACAGAGTTATTTGGTAGAAATCCATTAATAAAACAAAGAGAAGTCTAAAACGCTCTAACTTTGGTCTTAAATAGATGACTCATGTAAATGTACTGTTATTCCTCTGCTTGTCAGTGATCTTCATTTGATTAAAGTAGACATATTGTGCTTTTAAGTCCTTCCTTTTCACATTTAAATTCTTCACTTGGGTCTTTATAAAGTGATACTACAATAATTTGGTGTGAAATTCTCCTTATTTTAACTTTACCAGGTTCTCTTTCACTACTTTTCTGGTGTGTGTCTCAAAGCAGCTCATTTTGATGCTGTTCCTTTTAGGCGCTTCAAGACACGCCCCCTCCTGCTTCCAGACCGGTCCACTCCGGTTTTAGAGAGGGGGTTATGATTTCTAGCTTTCAGAAACGTTTTATTTGCAATTAAATTGAAAGATGTGAACACCAGTAGACTTGTCCATCTAGTCTTACATGTTGGAGCCCGAGTCTGACCCAGAACTAGAGTCTGACCCAGAACCAGAGGAGAATGAAGATGAGGAAATTGTAGTTGGTGAGACGGATCCAGACCTTATTTGGAAATTCTGTTGCAGATTATTTGATGCAATAGTTCAGAAAATGTCATAGAAAATAAAGAAAATGGAATGGACTGAAAAATATGACCCAAACAGAATATAAAGATATCTTTGAACTTTTCTGCCTACTAGAGACTCCATGTTCACAACAAAATGAAGTGGATTTTGCCTCATAGGTCCCCTATATGTAGACACTTGGTTAACTGCATTGTTCGACCCCAGCAGTGCTTGGGGTCAGGTTTTTGTCATCTTTAGTCACTCTTTTAATGCTTAGACGCCCCTACATCATTTCAAAATCTGTCTAAATGTTAAATCTATTTTTTTCTGTTTTGTTTTGAAAAATTGTTGCGAAATTGTGACACCATGTCTATGGGGGCTCCATGACAGTTTTTATCATCTCATGGAAGTAAATGCAGCACTTGCTTCCTAATTTTCAACCTTTGATGACCTCTGAATCTTTAATGGGTGTGTAACACCGCATTTTGTAATAATGTAATAAAATCAGGTTCAAAATGTAATAAACAGCACTAAAACTGCGTCATGTAATAATTGATGCAAAATGTAATAAAAGTCTTCAACGCATTTTGTAATACTCGCAGTCACATTATATAATAACATTATTACATTTGGCAGAGATTGTTACAAAATTTGGTGGTTGTTCTTTTTAGAAATTGTAATGCAGCAATGTGATGAATGATCACAAACCAATTTTAATCAATGCACTTGTAATAATGATCATGTTGCAGATACTAATCTTTGAAACTTTGATCAATAAATGCCAAACGTTTCATAATTTAGTTGCCTATTCACAGCCAGACAGGGCGTGATGCACATGGTGCAGAAAACAAAGGTGTTTTAACAAAGTGCTGTAACAATTGCTGCAAGATGTAATAATGTTTTTACATAATACGGCTGCGAGAATTACAAAATGAGTTGAAGACTTTTATTACATTATTACATAATTCGGCTTTAATGGGTGGTCTGATTTAAAAAAAATTAATCAGTTTTTGGAATCAGTACATGGAGCCTTATGAGTACAAAAAAAACTAATACCTTTGAAAATTTTATCAAAATTCTTACTTTAATAAGTTAGTTTTATCCTCAACTTCTCTTCAGCATCTTTCTGTCTGCACACTTTATAACTTGGCATCTAATAAATACATACAGACTCACTTATTTAAAATGTAAATTTCTGAACATCCATGAATCAAAACGAGTCAACAACTCAAAAAAACAGGTATATTTTTATTTTTTTTTTTAAAAAGGGCAAATTCCAGTTTGCTTACACGGAGGAGTGATAATCAAAAGACGAAGAAAGAAGCTGCTTCTTCTTTTGTAGTTTTGTAGTTTTCCAGCTGCTAGAAATGAAAGCGATGCTAACTGTGGGAAGTGTGAGTTTATTTGTGACTGAACAGTGGTGTGATACAGCATGTGGGGTGGGGGTGGGGGGTGTCATAGAGTACAAAAATCCCTTTTTAATCATTTTTTTAATCATATTTCTGAATTCCATAAATAAACTTGACAAAATATTTTGGGCCATTTGTCCCATTTGTTTCAGTCCACATTAGTGATTTCTTCTCCTGGTGTTGATAAAGTGGCGTCTTTGTTCAGCTGACCGACAATAAATGCTCTGTTACAACAATGACCCAGAAAGAACAGTGACTAACAACAAAAGTCAACTAAAATCTGTTCTAACAGCTTTCAGCTTGTGATTGTTCAGCCAGTTACGACTTAAACGAGTCACCTCTGCTCACGGTTTATGAGGAAAAACCAAACAAAACCTGGAGCTCAGATGTAAAACAACACGACCCCGTTTGTAAAATGTTCTAAAAGCTATGAGAAAAAAACATAATCTGCCACTACAGCATGTGTTTTTAAAAAGTAGCTCTTTCGTTCCTCAGTTTTAAATAAAAAATAGACGACTAGAGTGGGCTGTTTTTTCCTGAACACGTCTACAGGTCATTTTCTCACCAACAAATAAGGACATTTTCAAAATAATAATAACAAAAAAATATTCAAAATCTAACAAACCAGATTTCTTTCTATCTCGTTTTTTTTTTCTTTTCTTTTTTTAAATGGAGGTGCTGGCAGAGCGTTGCTTGAGAGAAACACAAGTATAGTTGGCACCCAAGAGGTGAAGAGCTGAATTATGGCACAGAGGCTCAGGTCAGGGGGGTGCGAGGACCTTTCTTATTTACAAAATAGATGTTTGGCAAATTCTGATTTCATCGTCGATGCCTCGGAGTCGTGTTGGTACCTGTAACGACTCGGGACCACCAACCGAGAGTTCACAGCTTATAAAAGAAGAAAGAAAGAAAAGAAAAATAAACCCCACTTCTGATTTGTTTCAGGCCTCAAAGGAATCTGCTGTCAGCTTCGCCCGCTGATCCACACCAAGTCTCTTCATGCAAACTGATGAAACGACGGAGCAACGCTGCCCTGCTGCGCAGTCTTTCCTCAGAGCTCCCTTTGAAAGTTCCCAAAAAATAATTTCCATCCTTATTGTTTCTTTAACAAGTTATCACAGATTTGTCCTCGTTTAACTCATCGCAGAACGCGTCCTGTTGCAGGTTTTAGTCAGAGATCGAAAGGTCACTTCCTGGTTGAAGAGTTATTTGATTGGACATGCTGAGGACTGGACAGGTCAGTACAGTGTGTGGCCTCTGGAGAAAACAAACAAACAAACAAACAAACAAAAAAAGGCGAGGAGTTCTTTTGATGACCAGAATTGCCATAAATATCCTTTTAAAGATTGATAGTTTTTTTTAAAAAGGCGAGTCCGTGTAATCCAGCTGAGAGAAAAGCTGCTGCTTTCAGTCTCAGAGGCAGCAGTCTTGGCCTTGAGAGCTCCCCTCTTCTCCTGAAAGACAATCAGAAAACAGAAAATCCTAAATAAGTCTGTGCAGCTCCAGGTTTCACCATCAGGGGGCAGCATCGTGCCTTCGCACTTTCACACGAGCTCGTTCCACAGCTGGAGGTGAAGTGACAGATGAATATATGGAGCCAATAAAGGACAGAAAGAGAAGTTTACAGGGAAACAATGAGACGAGGGAAGAGGCTGACGATGAAAAGAGCTCAGCGGCAGAGACACAAACGTCAGAATGTGACGACGGCTGATTAATAACAGAGGGAAATAAAAGACGACGATGATGATGAAACACTCACCGTCTCCCTGTCTGCCTGCCTCTAGCTGTCTTCCTGTGGACAGGTCGGATCCACGGGCTCTGCAGCGTCACTTGGCGCTGGAGAAATCGTCCTTGAATCATCACAAACCTGAATTAAAACAAAACAACATAAATTTTAGATTTGTAAAATAAACCTCATATTCAGCATCCTGCTAAATATTTAAGGAAAAAGAACAGAAATCACCATGAAATATGATGATCACCAGCTGCTAAAAGGCAACGGGTTGATGAGAATGTGTTTGTAAGCAAAATATTTCATGAACCACTGGATTGTTTAGTGTACCTCTACAACTACTACTTGTTGTCAACACAATTCAAGATGGCTGCTAAATCTGACTTACAGTAACACAAAAATGACTAGAATTTTATCAGCTTTACCATATTTTATGCTAAAGTTTTGCTGTGGTAGCAGACAGTGATCCCAAACAAACACTCTGAGTATCAATACACTGAAATATTGTGATAATTCGTATCCTGATACTGTATCGATTATTTTTTTTATCAAGCCTTGAAATGAAAACTTTCACACCAGGAGTTCATTTCTATGTTTTATTTTAGGCTCTGACAGGTAGTTAGCAGCACAATGTTATCTTAAACTTTAGCTTGAGTGTAGTTGTTGTAAATGAGAAGCTTTTGGGGAAAATTGTCAACATATCTCCTCACTTACACAATATATCAAGATATATGACTCCATGTCGTGATATGGATCATATCACCAAATTCTTGCCAATACAGCTCTACTATATATTGATTAAAACCTCTGCAATAGCTACTGGAGATTTGTAAAAGCACCACACATTCTGTAGTCTTTTCTTAGGTGAATAATGATATCTTTAACTGTGTGATTCTTTTTGTGATTACGTTGATGATTTTTTTGTACGGACTGGTCTGAGTGGCAGTCAAAGATGGTTACACAGAGCAGGAGGTACATATAAGATAAATGCCTGAATACACCTACAACACTTAATCGAAGCGCTGTTTTAACACTAGAGGAGGAAATTTTGAATGAGGACCTGATTTCAGCGCATTCGAATGATGCAATGACAATAGGCGGAGTCAGGTCCTGAAGAAGGTTATGAAATTATCACAGTTTCCTGGATGCTTCTGCTGAATGCACGGAGAGAGCATCAAATCCTGTGATTCAATCCCAGCATTGCTGTGGTTGTATGAATTCTTTTCACATTCAAACATTCAAGTATTGGTGTATTTTATATCTGGTTGCGAACACACAATGATGGTAAACGAGCACATCTAAAACTTTCAGGAAGTTATCATTCGATGTCTTTCTACAAATGGTGTTTTGGTCTGTGTCTGTGTTAATGTTTTATTTTGGTTCTATTCTGGTTTTCTGTCTTGTTCTTCTCTGTTTACTTCCTCCTGCCTGTCTTTGCTCCAGGGGCGGAGCCAGACATTTTCCTCAGGGGTGGCCAGGAAAATTACATAATTTTTTACTTGAAAGTTTCTGCAGATCTTTGTGTTTTTGTCATTTCTTTATGTACTTACAGGCAGTGAGTACCTTATAAACATGGGTGTCAGAAGAACCATTTTAAAATTGGGGGGACACACTGTTGGATGGGTCTGGGGGTCCTCCCCCTGAACATTTTGGACGAAATACAGCGGGTAAAATAAGTATTGAACACGTCAACATTTTTCTCAGTAAATATATTACTAGAGGTGCTAATGACATGAAATTTTCACCAGATGTCGGTAACAACCCAAG